TTGCATCAACAGGAGCACAACTGTAGACCCTATAAGTGACTCTTACAATATAGTTTGAGAGCTACCATCTTGGTCTGTGCCTCCTCAACATAGTAAATATCCCCAACAGCAGGACTGGCTGAGACTGAATGCTTGGGGAATCTCGGGAACTCACTGCTTCACAGCCAGGCAGCTTGCTCCCTGCTGGATGCTTCCAACCACAAGATCAAACCCTGCTCCGCTCTAACTCTACCAGTTTTACCTGTTTGTCCCCACCTATATCACAGAGAGGCAGCAAAATCTCTCAAAGAGCCATGCAGCTCTGGAAGCCAATATTCCCTCCTCTTCCCCAGCACCCTGTGTGTTCTCATCTGAACATTGCTCAGTCACCAATGGCTAGACCCCGGCCCTTCCCAGATGACTCCAGGCTATGCCCTGGTGTGTCATTCCCATTGCAAGGCCCAGTTCTGAGCCCACACCCTGGGTGGATCTGACAGAGGGGAGAGAGACAGCCTGCACATCAGACCTTGGCCTCTATGAAGGTCCTCGAATCTAGTTGGACAAGCTGACATGCCCAGTTGCTAAGGTACTCACATCACGACTTAGATAATACTGGTTTCTCAACAAGCAACTATGAATCAAGAAGCCCGGCAAAAGCAAGTTAAATTTAACCAATTTCAGCACCAGGGTGCATTTCACCCCTCTGTCATGCATCCCTATTTTTGTAGCACCGGGAAACTGAAACAACTGATTACATATTCCAGGCTGTCTCCCTCAAAGGGAAGTCAGAGCTACTTTTCAATTATACAAATTACACGCATTTTCCCATTTACGAAACTGTTTCAGAGCCCAGTTTTGAATAAGCTAAGGGATTCATCAAGTCTCATGACAGTAGACCTACTCAGCCCTCCACCATCTTTGTAAGCAAGCTTAGCCTCTTAGAAAGGGGACAAGGAGGTCCCCAGAGTCTAGCCCATAACAAATGGGGTTGTGCTCCCTGAGAATCAGAGGGTGAGGGGGTGGGGCAGAAATTAGGCTCCAGGGCTACTCCCCATCAGGATTTAGATGTTTGTTCCTACATCTGCAATGGAGGGTTTCAGGCTCCCAGCCACTTCCCAGCGTTCAGTGAGGATCTCTGTGTACCAGGCTCTATGCTAGGCACTGGCAACTGGGAGATGAAGAGAATGGGAGTCCCTGCACCCAAGAAGCTTACTGTCTAGTAGGGAAGACTGGACATAGAATAAACTATTTTCCACAAAATATAAAGACTGTATGCAACACAGAAGCAGTATAGAACCATGTTTCTCAGCTCTCTTTTCACTATCATTCTCACTCTCCCAGTAATTTTTCCTAATACTGCCCCACTCTTGAAATTCCAATGCCACAAAGAGACTATATGCTATTAATATACTGTCTATATGTCTGTCCTGTGGTTTATACATAAAAAGTGAGACATTTTGCTCCCTCCCCACAAAAAATCAATTTCTACTCTTTGGGGGAGATGGCTTCTATTGAAAAGGCTCTGTTTAGGAAGGAACAATGAATTCACTCTGGGGCTGGGAGGCGCAGAAGGAAAGGGATCAGGAAAGGCATCACAGAGGAGGTGGTATCTATCCAGGGTTTTGAAGGATGAGCAGTTCTGAAAGCAGAAAAGAAACTCAGCATCAAGTCTTCCTTGCTGGGCAATCTGAGCTCCTGCCTTACTCTCAGACATTAGTGGTAGCTAACCTCCAAGATGGTCCTGGTGATCTTTAGCTCCCACTACAGTTTGTGTAGTAACCTCCCCACACTCACACATTAAGTAAGAGCTAATTTGTATAATTGACAGAAATGATGGCATGCAACTTTTGAAGCTAGATACTACAAGACTCTGCCATCTCTGCCTTGACCTCACTTTGGGGGAAGTCATTCAAGCAACTCTATGCAGAGACCCACGTGGAGAGCCAGCCACTTGAGGGAACCACACTGGAAGCAATCTTCCAGCCCCAGCCAAGCCTTCTGATGATGCCAGTTCCCAGCCTTCAAATCTCCAACTGGACCCCGAGCATATGGAGCAGACACAAGTCATTATATATATGATATAATAATAAATGATGATTGTTGTTTTAACCATTAAAATTTGGGGTGATCAGTTACACAGCAATAAGTAACTAAAACAATTCCCATCTCATCACCCGGTTCCCTATCTTGTCAACCCCACTAAACAAGCTTGTCTTGTTCATGCTCAAGTCAGCTGGTAATCCAGGAGTGTCCAACATTTTGCTCGCTTCTGCGGCTCCTCAGAGAATTCCAGATAGTCTCAGTGAGGTTATGAGAGGGCCTGTAACCTCCCTGAATTCCTCTCTGGGTGAGGATTTCCCAGACAGCTCAAACTCTCATCTAGGAAAAATGTCCCACCTGCCAATTCTTTGTCCTGCCCTCTCTTCCTCCTTCCTCCCATCCTCATTCAGTGAGCATCTAATAAGGTCTATGAAGAGTCAGGCACCAGGAAAAACAGGAGTAATTCAGGTCCAAATTCCATCTTCAAGGAGCTCACAGCCCAGCTAAACATATCCTCACATCTGCAGAGCCCTGAAAGAGGTCAGGCAGAGGGGCATGGCGGGGGGAGAGGGGGTTCTGTGCATGCTCGCTAGAAATAAACAGGGAAGTGAGAAAAATAACTTACAGAGGGCTACTTTAGATAGTGCAGTGAGAAAGGCTTCCTGGGATAGGCAACCTTTTAAGCTGGGTCACTTAGAATAGGTAGACTGACATACTGGACCTGGGGAGAATGGATGTCTCAGGAGGTGAAAGCAGTGCTGAAGGAAAGCCCAGGAGTGTTAAGAATCAGGGTTCAACCTGCAGAGGAGTAGGAAACAGGGCAGGGTGACAACAATGAAACCAGGAACATGTAGTGCTTATGATGTGCCAGGCAGAGTTGTAATCACTCATTAACTATTTACTCCATACAGCAGCCCTATGAGCCCATGCCCTCTTACTACCCTGACTTTACAGATGACTGAGGCTCAGAGTGGCAGCTCAGAGTGACAGCAGGGTGTGTAGGGAGCTCCTCAGCATTCAGAAAAGGAAATTCAAATACAGAGAAGGTGACTTGACCAGGTGGCTGTGTATAGGCACCGTGGGGCCAGAAGCCAGGCTCCCAGGGCTCACTGAGCTGTGCCGGCCCCAGTTGTGTGGTTAGGTTTGTACTGTCACATGCAGAGCTGCTTTTCAGGCCTCGTCTCCTGTTGCATCTGCCCACATTCAGCATGGCCTTCTCCGGCCACAGCACATGACTCACACTGCCCAAGCCCACACATTCTCACCACCTGCTTTTGCACGCCCAGTTTCCTCTGCCAGCAGTGCTCTCCTCCAGGTCTCCTGCTTTCCAACACCCTCTCCACCTTCACAGTCAGCTCAGCATCCCTTCCCTCAAAAACCTTCCTGGTCCCTGGACTGAGTGGGTGGTCCTTTCCTGGGACCTCATCCTCCCTCCTCACACCTCTGTCATGGTTGGCTCCCACTGCCACTCTACCCCCAACATCCCAGGCACGCAGGGCCAGACCCAAGGAGTTCTTCAGGGCAAGCAGAGTGGAATCGGATCCTCCTGTGGTTCAGCTCCTGCCCGCCTCTTCATTCTTACTCTCACCACTGGACAACCCACTCACCTTGCTCCAGCCCCACTGCCCTCTTTTCTGTTCCCTGAACACACCAGGTTCTTCCCCATCACAGGTGTTCTACATTTGCCTTTCTATCTGTAAACATGGTGCTCTTCACCCAACCAGTTCCTCCTCATGCTTCAGGTCTCGGCTCACCTCCTCCAAGAAGATTTTTCTGACTGCCCCAAGGCAGTCACTATTTACCTCCTCACCCTATTTATGTCTATCATGGCCCAGTTTCCTTACTATAGTCTTACCTCATGGACCAGAGTGCCTAAGTTTAAATCATGGCTCTATTACTATGAGCCATGGGTTTTCTGTCAAATTACTTAGCTTTGTGCACTTCAGTTTCCTTGTCTATAAAATGGGGATAATAATAGTGCCTACAGCATGGAACAGTTATCACGATTAAATGAGTTAATGCATGTAAGTGCTCAGAACAGTGTCTGGTATGTAATAAACATGACATGTATAATATTATACAAGTGTTAGCTCTTAGTATTATTATTTATTTGCTTACTGCCTGCATCCCTCTTAGAATGTAGGCTCCCAAAGGGTAGAGACAATGTCTGTCCTGTTTGCACTATATATCCAGTGTCTACCAAAATTCTAGACACACAGTAAGTTGCCCATTATACTTTTGGATGGATGATGGAGTAATGGATGATGGATGGATGAACAGATAGATGGCTGGGGGATGGATGGATGGATGAAGCAAAGAAGTAAAACATGTTCGTAGGCAAGCACTCATCCCAAATGGTCACATCTTCCTATACTCTTCTCTCTTATACTCCAAATAACAGCTAGCACCAGTGAATGCTGCCTACAACAGATTACACACACTCACTGGTGGAACTTTCGACAGTGCATAACATTTGCCGGTATGAAAAGTAAACAACTTGCCAGTAGCCCCAGGAAAGGCTTACCTGAGGAGAAAGGCAGTCTTAGTAGACAAGAGAACTTCAGTTGGAGGAGGGGAGGAGGGAAGTTTGGTAAAGAACAATCTGGTTAAGGGGAAAGAGAGAGCCCTGAGTTCTGAAGATCCAGGGTGCATCTGAAAGGTGAGTTGTCTGGAGAAACGGAGGCATGGAATATATGGCAGGGACAGATGACACTGGACAGTCAGATTGGCTGGATGCTGATGGCCCTGAGAATCAGGCTAGGGAGTCACTGAAAGATTTCAAACACACAGAGGTGGCCATGCCAGGAGGGGCCAGAATGTCAGGCCAAGAGGTGGGGCCAGTGGCTGTGCAATCACTAGGAAAGGGTGAGCCAGGGCTTAATCCGGGCAACTTAGAAACCATGTTGGACAAGGAACCATTCCTGCAAAAGATTGGTGGGCAATCAAGAGAGTCCCCCAAACAAAGGCAATTTGGACCTTACCTGCACCAGATTCCAGCCTTGGAGGGACTCTGCGATGATGGATGTAACAGATGGACAGACGCCTCCAAACACCATCAAGTGGTTTGGCCCATATTTTATTGCATCGTAGAAGGCTTTCAATCCTTTTGCATTATCACACTGGGGAGCAACACAGAGAAAGAGAAACCCAAATTAGAAACTGCTTTCCCCAGGGGACAGAGCCCAATAGTGGATTCACACAAACAAATCTGCCTCATGGGAAACCTTCTGGGTTTTAGTTCTTTCATCGGTGGGCCTCTCTCTAAGCCAGCCCTGAGCCTGTGCTATAAGCTGAATGAAGTATGATCTTGGCATCCCCTATCTTAGCTCCCAAATGCCTCCCAGAAGGTCTCCGCTTTTTCGGGTCATTTATATTAGGGATGGCTATTACTTAAAAAGCAGACAATAACAAATGTTATTGAGGATATGGAGAAATCAAAACCCTTATGCAGTACTGGTGGGAATGTAAAATGGTGTAGCTGCTGCAGAAAACAGTATGGCAATTCCTCAAAAAGTTAAACAGAATTATTATATGATCCAGCACAACACCTCTAGGTGTATATACCCCAAAGAATCAAAAGCAAGAACTCCAACAGATATTTGTACACCCATGTTCCTAGCAGCATTAATCATAGTAGCCAAAAGGTAGAAACAACTGAAATGTCTGTCAACATATGAATGAGCAAACAAATTGTAGTATATCCATACAATAGACTATTATTTGGCCTTAAGAATTAAGGAAATTGATATATGTTACAACATACATAAACCTTGAAGACATTACACTAAATGAAATAAGCCAGATGCCCAAAGACAAATACTGTGTGATTCCACTTATATGAGGTATCCAGAGTAGTCAAATTCAGAAAGACAGAAATTAGAATGGTGGTTGCCAGGGGCTTGAAGGGGTGGGGGGTGAGGGTTAGTGTTTATTTGGTACAGTTTCAGTTTGGGTGATGGTAACATTATGGAGATGGATGATGGTGATGGTAGCACAACAATGTGAATGTACTTAATGCCAATGAACTGTACCTACACCTAAAAATGGTTAAGATGGCATATTTTATGTTATGTATATCTTATCACAATATAAAAGGATAAGCAGAAGAGAAGGAAAAGGTGGGTAGTGGGGGGAGGAGGAAGAGAAGAAGATGAATCCAAAGAGACAAATTCGTTCGGCAAACACTGCCAAGCACAGCTCTATGCCCAGCCCATGGCTCGATGCTAAGGAAACAAAGTTGGACACAGTCCCTGCCAAGGAGCTCACATAGGAGAAAGGAAAATTGCTGACTACAGCAGATCCTGGAGATCTACCACAGAAATGCATGAGGATCAATGTCCATGAATGTTAGGAGTCAGTAGGCTGGCTCACTTCCCACCTCTCCCCACCTCCACATCTCTCATCAAGCCCAATGGTCATCTTTTCCTTGGACAGAGACTCTGGCTCCCCTGGGGCTCAGTGAAGGCCACTCACCACCTGGCAGTCCTTGTAAAACAAAAATCAGTCCTTCTTACTCTTCTGCTTTCCATGCACTTATCAGAATATGATTTTCAAAAGGTTACAAACATCATTCTCATGAAGATCGATAGTTAACTCATGGATAAATGTATCTGCAAGATGACAAAGTGGATTCAAAAGAAAATATAATATACAGGGATTTTTATAGTGAACTAGTGGCCTAGCCTGCACCCTTTCCAATCAGGGACCCTTTGGGGGGATGTCCGACTGCCAGTTTAGGCCCAAGGGATCAGGCCTAAACTGGCAGTCGGACATTCCTCTTGCAATCTGGGACTACTGGCTCCTAACTGCTCATCGGCCTCTCTGCCTAATTGCCCCTAACTGCCCTCCCCTGCCAGCCTGATCTCACCTCTAACTGCCTTAAAACCTCTCCTCAGCCCCCACCTTAGGTTCTGCCTTCGCAGTTTACCCAGGTTCTGATTAGTTGGTTTCTATGCCAGTCAGTATCAAAAGCTCCGCCTCCTAGGCAGCCATTGGCTCTTCGCAGTTCACCCAGATTTGGTTCTGATTGGTCTGTTTCTATGACAGTCAGCATCTCTGGGCCTATCTCTGGGCCTGATCAGAGAAGCAGGCTGATCAGCAGCCCCCACGGAGGCCCAGAGAGAAAGCGAGGCACGCTGCTGACCAGGACCTGAGAGAAAGAGACAAGGGCTATTCTACAGCTGCCACAGAGGCTACAGATTAAACCTTGTTTCTCTCTCCAGGACTCTCTCCAGGCCTGATCTGCAACTCCCTCAGCAGTCAGTGCTGAGTCACCTCGGCAACCCAACACTGACTGTAGGACTGACTTCCAGTGTTCAGTCAAGCCTTCAGTTGTTACGGTCACTGCCAATATATATTTATATAGAAAAATAACAAATTAGATACAAAACTGGTTAATGTCCTTCAGGGCAATTATGCTGTGGGGACAGAAAAAAGATAATTAGAAACCAGCACAGTCCTAGCCTGCTTGCTCAGTGGTTAGAGCCCTTGGACCAAATTGTTGGTCTGGTCAAGGTCAAGTACCTCAGTTGAAGGCTTGATCCCCAGCACAGTCCAGGATGCAAAAGGGAGGCAACCAATCACTGTATCTCTCTCTTCTCCCCTTCTTCATTCCCCTCCATTCTCTCTCAAAAAAAAACAACAACCCACAAAACATACACACACACACACACACACACACACACACACACACAAACCCAGCACATTCTACCAGTTTTAGAGAATTATAAGATGTATGAGCTTTAAATTCCCCCCATCAGGTGACCCTCAGGGCTGTTGGAAAATGCCCTGTTAGTCTGTCTATACAATAACTTTGCATTATTTATAAATGTTGGTATGATATTCTTAACCTTCCTTATCATAATGGGTACAAGAAGCCACAAGACTCAGCCCTACCTCTCACTCTGATGTGATTTCCCTCCACTCTTCTCCTTGCTCACCCAGCACAGACTTACCAGCCTCCTTTTTGTTTCTTGAAATTGAAAGCAATTTCCTTCTTGCTCCTGGGACTTTGCACTTGCGTTTTCTCAAGGAATAATATTCACGTGGTTCTCAAAATGGCTCACTACTTATCATCATTCTGGTCTCAGCATAGCTGTTACCTCCTCAGTGAAGTTGTTACCACTATCCCCCTTCCCCAAATGGCCCCTGCTCCCAGTCACTTAACAGGCCACACTATTTATTGTCTTAATATAGTTCCTAAAATTATCTGAAATCATTTCTCCCCTATTTTTTTGTCTGCCTGTGTATTTGCTGAACTCTCAACTAGAATGCAAGGTCCCCGAGGGCAATGATGTTTATTATGTTTTCACTGCTGTCTCCCCAGAGCTTGGAAGGGGTTCAATCAGTAAGAAGCTGTGCCCGAAGGAGCCCAGTGATGTTCTCCCTGTATCTGCTTTCTCTCCTCTCTTTCTATTTCCATGTGTCTTTCCTGATTCTTGTCTTCCTCTCCATCCTCTGCCCTCCTCTTTCTTTCTGTTCCCCCTCCCTTTTCTTAAAAGTGACCATAATGTGGGACAGAGTGTACCTGTTGCTCCTTCCTTGTTTATTTGAGAGACTCAGGACAGTAGTCATGGTGGGTGCTAAACGGGATAGAAAAATGAGTCTAACACATCTCCTGGCCTCAGGAAGCTCACTGTCTGGTACAGGTAGTGAGACAGGGGCACAGGTGGCATGCCACATGGCAGACAGTGCTCAGTACTGGAGACAGACAGATCCAGGCTATGGACACCACAGCAGCAATCAGGGACGGCTCTGGGGGCGAACACTCGAGACTGAGTGAGGAGGGCAAAGTGGACTGGGCTAAGGCTAATGAGGACTCTGAGCGCCAGGCTAGGGAGTTTGGATTGTAGCCTAAAGAGAGTCAGGAGAGAATTCCATTTAAAATTTTTAATTTAATTTTTAAATTGGCCAGGTTATTTATTTATTTTATTTATTTTTGCCAGGAAGGAAAGAGAGAAAGCAAAAAGAAGAGAAAAAAAGGAAGAGAGGGAGGAGGGAGGAAAGATTAAAGATTAAGCTACTGTTTCTTGGGGCCCTCGATTAATTGTCCCTGTTCCTTGATGGAAAGCAATACTTCCCACCCTTAGCACAAGCAGACAGAACAGAGCAGTTCATGTTTTAATTATTTCTATCATGATTTACAAAATCATTTCCCATTTTAATACATTCTAATAATGATTATAACTTGTTTTCTAATCTGTAGCTAATGACAATGATAATGCAGTGCCACAAGACTTATAATAAAACTTGCACTAAAAATATTAGCAACAATAAATTAATTAATGCTTGTTTGCTCAGCAAACATTTCCCCAGTACCTAGTCCATGCAAGATTCTATATTAATAATGATGTCCTAGCTTCTCACAAATTGACAACTTCTGAAACCTGACAATATTTGACAACTAATATTTGAGCTAGAAGAATCTTTCAATGTCCAAAAATGTTTAACCAACTCAGTTTGCACCAGGCTGGGTATAGAAGGCAGAATTCTGACCCCCATGAATTTTGCCCCTTGGTCTTACTCTCATGAATGTTGTTACATGACAAACAGGGCTTTGCAGAGATAATTAAGGTTACAAATCAGGTGACCTGAAAGTATTACCCAGGTAACTCAAAGTAATCAATCCTGAAAGCAAAGATCTTTTCTGACTGGCAGCAGAGGGGGAAACCAGACATTCAAAGAATGAAATAAATTTGATGTGCCTTGTTGGCTTGAAGATGAGGGGGAACACATGGCAAAGAAATGGGAACCTCAGTTTTACTATTGCAAGAAACTGAATTCTGCCAACAAACTGAATGAGTCTGGCCTACATATAGAACCCAGCTCAGCTAACTTTGATTTTGACCTTGTTCCTGAACAGAGGACCTAGCAGGGTCACACAGTACCTAAACTTCGGGCCAGTGGACTTGAGACAATATACAGTTGTGGTCTAAACCACTAGACTTATGGTAATTTGTTACAGCAGCCATAGACAACTAATACAGAAAAGTAAATTTTTAAAAAATATATTGATTTTTTTACAGAAAAAAAAGGGAGAGGGATAGAGAGTTAGAAACATCAATGAGAGAAAAACATCAATCAGCTGCCTCCTGCACACCTCCTACTGGGGATGTGCCCG